TAGTTGGACCGAAGTTCGGATCAAGCGCAAATTATACAGCAAATCGAAGTTTCGTGGCGTTAGTGATGAATGATCATTAGCTAAAATTAATTAAATTAATAGGAATAACAGAGAGAGTGTAGGAGGAAGAAAAAGGGAGCTTTCTACTGTGGGAAAGGAAACCACTTTATTGTAAGTAAAATCTAATATTAATCCAAATTGTAATGTAATGATAATAAATGTTTACAGTTTGAGGGTTGCTGAAAACTAGTCAGCTGCTGTTGAAAAATTTGGGAACAATTTCTCAAAAATAAAGTGACACAAGCGGTGTCCAAATGAGAAGTTCGGACCTTCCCAACAAAATGGCTTCCGATTCCGAAACGGCAGACAAAACAGTCATGGACCTGACAGCGAATCCGTGTGGAATCTGCGGGCCGTCAACATGCGACGAAGAAATGGCAGGTTGTGACGGTTGCGCAAGCTGGTTTCACTCTCGCTGCGTAGGTCTAACGGAGGGACTGAAGCCGAAGAAATGGTACTACCAAAGGCAGCTCAAAGAAGCCAAGAAGCAGGCTCGTCTTCGGAAGCCTACCGACGAGTCTGACAAGTCTAGCATCAACTCTCGCAAAGGCTTTTCCATCGTGGAGCAAAAAGTGAAGGCGTTGGAGGAAAGGCAAAAGCGGCAGTATGAAGAGCTAGTGGCGGAGATGCAGCTGTGGAAGAAGGAAAAAGAGATGCAGCGCGCATTTGAAAGAATAAGTTTGGAGATGGAGAGAGAGATGCGCGCTGAAGAAGAAGAAGAACAAAGAGCTTTGCAGGAAGAGATTCTGCAGAGACCTCCGGTCGGTACAGGAAATTCGGTCCTTGCTCCAACCGCCTTGCCCCCACTTCGTCAATACGTCTGCTATGTTGAGCTTGGTTGGCACCCAGCGCCAGTCCGCAACTTTCATGAGCTCCTGGATTTCACCGACCCGAAATGTAACGAATTGCTTGTAGCGATGTTGGTCGGAATTCAACCAGCTACACACTGTGCGAGAATCCGTCCAGGAAACAGTGCGGAGGATTTTATACAAATGTGTCTCCACAACGGTTTGACTCATACGGGCTCCCAGAACCGCGTTCATAAGCTCCAGACGAGGAATTGACTGATGTTTAATCGGCGCCACTTGCGCTCGAGACATCATCAGACTGCAATGAACAATGCCGTTTACCACCGCTCGCAAATACGCGTGTTCGCTGGCATCGGTGAAGATGTGAATTTCCAGCGAATCGATTTCGGCGCACCTTGCACCACCGAGATAGCAACGCGGAATTGGGATGGCTTCCACCTCTGGCAACAGACTGGTCCACCGCTTCCACAGCTCCCAGCACTTGACATCGATGTCCTGATCCCAGTCACAGTTGGAACGCCACAGATGCTGGATGATAATTTTGCCGTGACTGGCGACAATAGTCCGAGTGGGTCACACAACTTGTGACAAGCCTTTTCGTCGGCCGTTTTCCCTCATACAGGTACGCCAACAACTCCTCGCGGTGCAAAGTCGAAAAAGAACATTCGTCCAGGTCTGGATCGCAGACTTTCCCCAGAACTCGCTCCTTAGAGGTCTGCTTATCCCGGTTGAAGTGCACCCGCGCGGCCGATTTCGTCTCTCTCAGACTCCGAAGAACTTCTGGCGAGTTGGACACCCAATTTCCAATCTCGAAGCCTGCCTTTGATGTACCAAACGCACCTTCTGCGCTAGCTTGACTGTATCGACACTGTCGAAATAATCGTCGACATAGTGCCGGATTATGATGGCTGCGGCTGCTGCGGGATATTGAGCAGCGAGTTCCTCAGCGTTCCGGTTTTGACTAATTGGGCAATAGGGCTAGTGGACCCAAACGTTGCCACGTCCATGAAATAAATGCTCGGTGTATCGTTTGGAGTCTTCCTCAAGACAAACCTCTGCTTCTGTTTGTCCTCGACGCGAATCTTCATCTGGTGAAACATCTCCATTACGTCTCCGCCGAAAGCGAGTCGCCATTCGCGGAAGCCGAACTTTCACCAGGGGTACGAGTATATCGGGACCTTCAGGGAAACTCCTTGCACTGTCGCTGCAGCATCCCACACAATGCGTACCTTACTTGGCTTTTTCGGGTTTTGTAAGACGCTGAGTGGGAGATACCAGACCTCGTCGGGGGAAGTTTCAGCCTTTTTTTCTGGTACTCACGTGGTGGTCGCGGAAACGTTTGGTTGTTCGCTCGAGTATTTCCCTTGCCCGTTTCTCTTCTGTTGACTCTTGCGGTACTACCAGCACCGATTGCTCCAGAGCTTAGTGGCTTTTGAGCAGTTCGTGCAGATCATCGTTGGTGATTTCCTGGTGGTAAGCGAAATAATTACCCACTGAAACCGTAGTCGAGTGCCTTGGCCCATATACCGTCCATCCAAAATTGCATCGAACGGCGATTGGTTCCAACCTCTGACGAGGCACCATCAGCTTTCCAACCGTACGGAAACTATGCAGCAGCAACTCGTCAGACGCTCTTGTACTCCAACAACGCCCAGCCGGTCAGCGAGTTTCTTCTCCAACAACGTAACGGAGGCACCTTCATCCAGGAACGCCAGTACCGTGACCGATTTTCCACCATAGTGAAGCTGTACCGGTACCATACGGAACATGGCCGTACAGTTGGAACGGATATGTGCGCTCATTCCAACAGCGTTTCGCGCAGGATGCATCAGCGGATTGTGGTGCTCCTTGCAAACGCCGACGTTACAGAAAATCTTGAATTTACATAGACCACCATGCTCGTTGAGGCACACACACAACAAAGGAATCCAAGATGAGCAGACCAGCGGAACAACCTATCGCCAACCCAGCCGCTAAAGTTCCAGGATTGTGAACCTAGATGGCGAAGAAGTAACAACTGGAGGTCTACCAAAGCCCAAGTTAAACCAAGAAACTAATGAGAAAATGCGAATGCTGATCCATCACCTTCATGAAGCGTTTGCTGTACTTTTTGGATTTTTCGAAGAGATGTTGAGACACATTGACAGAACAATGAAATTAACATCAACAATCTGGACCTGCTATTTGCTGTTAAAGCGAAGAGTGAATAAGTCAGGGAGCATCAAGGACACGGTCAAACCTGAAACTGTGGTTACTATCAACGAAGTGGGAGTAATGGTTGGAGATCTCTGTGCTATCTTTACCAACATCACAGACAAGTATGATGGCATGTGCATCCCAATCCCTACAAACAACCAAGACAATAACCCAATCGTAAACAAACAAAGTCATTCCCTTCAACCTAAACAAAGTTCATAGCCTCAAATTGCATAGAATGCAATTGCAACCATATGCGGCGATTGCGCCGCAGCGTTAGAGTTATTTCATTTCCAGTTTCCTCTCCCCGCGTGAAATCTAGACCGATGTGCAAACGAAAGGTTTCATGTTGCACAGTCGGGTAGGACCACCATGTCACCAAAAGTGCAGACCTTGCGAAGTTGCATATTTTGGGTATCGACGCTCCAGTCGTCTCATTCTTACACATAAGTTAACTAGAATAAGCAAGAACATGTAAATGATATATAAACCAAATAATTCTAAATACACACGCCAATTATCGATCAGCAGTCAAACTCTCTTTACTGCGGTCACCGCGCGGCATTTCGATATTTCTCAAACGCGCATTTGCACAAAATTGCCCGCGGCCTTTGGTTTGTTAGGTCGAGTGAAACGCCGCAATGTTATCTCCCATAAGCATTGAGTAAACCTGACGCTGAAAGCGCGGCGGCACTTGCCTGAAGCAAACGCCGCGTGTCATTTTGTGCAAACAACTTAATACAAGTCTTCCATAGTTTTGATACCGCATGAACAAAGAAAGCTCCGCTGAACTTTCCAAACCAACTTTTGTTTGATTTATGCCTTCAAGTTCCGTTGCTGCGAGGGCGTTTACTTGAACAACCTGTACCGAGTTGCTGATTTTTAAGGGAAGCAAACATACGTGAAAATGAACAAATGGGGAATCTATGACACTCATCTCCCATTCGCCTACGGAGCCAACTTCCCGTCTACCATGCAAAGCGCTTTAATGCAGCAGATGGGACGTGCCACACTGTTAACTGCGTTGGCCCAAGCCACTGATCCTGTGTATCAAGGCAAATGGAAGAAAGCAGTCATCGCCCAATTGTCTGGAATTCCCAATATCCAGCAACTAGCAAACCTCATTGCAGGCAAACAATGGAAGTAATCTCAAATGCCTCTGTGTTGTTAGATTCGTAATTTCACAATTTGGAAAACAAAGAATAGGGGAAATGGCTCTAATGTTGGCCTATGGATCAATCAATTTTATCTAGATGAACGCGTCATTGGGACGGTAATAAGGGATATTTTTGGTCGCTATTGAAAATTTAGTCGATTGCTGAATGTATGGGCCCAAATTAGGGGCATTTAGGCCGACATTACATCCATTTCCCCTATATGAGTAACAAACAAGTTGACGGAAAGGATTAATGCTTTGTGTAGTGTTTATTAAACTAAAAAAAGACTGAGCTGAAATCACAACTAAAAATCATCAAACTGACTGCAGTGCAACAAAAAAAAACTGATTAAATATGTCGACCTGAAAATGCATATCTGGAAGGCTTCGCTCAACGATTCCTTCGGCTATTTCGTACTTGTTTATTGTTGTTGGCTTTCGACTCGATCATTACCACTGCGCTCCGCTGGCAGTTGTTGGTGACTGCATGCAAATAAATAATAGCGTTCGAAGCCCCCTTTCTCTCTTTTCATGACACCTCCCTATTTCTTCTCTTATTCATTCTTCATCAACATCAACAGCAGCATTCATATCTGTTCTTAAATGATCATATGTTGTTCCCTCCGATTCGAACGTTGAAAACTACACAGCACTGAATCGTGTGAATGAAACGAGCAAAAAAAAAGTCTAAAACAAAACCACCCACCGAAAAACTGGCGCAAAAACACACGCGTTAATTTTCCTGCATTGCATTTTGGCTGTTTTGGCGCGATTCCCTTCTTCATTTAGGCGCCAGTCTCGGCAATGTTCCATACCTTTGTGTTGCAGTCTTGTCCGGTCGAGATCAACGTCTCGTTATCGAGCCAAACCAGACCGGTAATTTGCGACTGGGGGTGGGCATCTAAAAGAAACAAGAGGAGATTTAATTACACTACAATATAGAGGCACAGAAACGAGCAGCAACTTACTCTTGATGATGGTATGCTTGGCGGGACTGTTGACGTACCAGATGATGATGGTCGTATCGAGGGAACCACTAGCAACCAGCAGCGAGTTCGGCGAGAAGGCCACACAGTTGACGCGAGCGTTGTGGAAGCCCCATTCCTGTTTGTGAGCAGGCTGGAAGAACGAATAGAATCGAATAGAAGATGAGAATCTAATAAACAGTATAGCTTGTTATTTCATCAATGATTACCAGAACGGTGGAGACGCAGGGTCGGTAATAGATTTTGAACTTCAGAGGCACAATATAGAGATTTTCTGTTCCGCTGTCTCGTTTTGGATTTGTTTTCAATTTTCTGAATGCTGTCTGTTCCCGTACTAGCTTTCTGCAAGATTCTGTACAGAAAAAAAGCAAAAGTATGCTCCCGCTCTTGATGCACCATATTATTTTCTTACAGCAACTTACGGCAACAGCAAAAAAAAAAAAAAGCAAGTACGGGAACAGACCTAATGGTTTCGGCCGTTGGTAAAATCCAAAACAAAAGGTTTTATGCATTGGAAGCATGATTGTAATACCAAGGTGTCAGGTCTGGTACGTTTGGCAAGAAGGTATTCGGTAAATGGAAACTTGACATAACGTTCATTTGACTTAAGCCATACAAATCGACATAGGTTTGAAACTGAGTTAATTCACAATCAATGATTATTTTTTCTTTTAGTTCCTGCTCGTTGTTTAACAGAATCTAAATCGGTACTTTACTTTAATTTTATCTTTATTTTTTTCTTTCAAACAGTAGCTGTTCTTGAAAGAAGTAACAATCTGCTTCAAAAATATTAGCCAAAGAAGCCAAATCGCATAAAAGTTTTCGATACGCCCACACACAATAGATGAATACAGTAATGATCCGATTTTGTCAGCCCCTCCATGCATCAGACTTTTATCTTTCAATAGTTTCACATAACCGTAATTTCAAATCTTTCTCATTCATCTTCAAGGTGGATGTCTAAGGAGCAATAAGACCACTGAAAAAGCGCATGGGTTTCGTAAAGGACGAACACGAAATTATTGCGACACCGAAAATGTCATGCCAATTTTCTTATAATGTTTAGAATCAAACCAAAATTTTAGGGTAGTTTTATACATATATTTACTTCAAAAATCAAAAGAAAAGTTAATCGATGGAGCCTTGAGCGTAAAATTGAACGCATTTTCGCTTGATGCCCTCCATCAAAGTCTTTACAGTGTCATCCGGTACCAGTTTCTCAGTTTTTTTTTTTTTCCATTTTCTTAACATGTCCTTCTCGTCTTTGACTGTCTTCTTGCTCTTCCGAAGTTCCCGCTTCATTATTGCCCAGTACTGCTCCACCGGGCGCAGCTCCGGACAGTTTGGCGGATTCATGTCCTTTGGAACAAAATGGACAGAATTGGCCTCATACCACTCCAGGACACTTTTAGAATAGTGGTATGATGCCTAATCTGGCCAAAATAGCGGAGCTTCGTCGTGCTGCTGCAAGAACGGCAAAAGGCGCTTCCCAACAAACAATCGTCTATTGAAGAAACGACTTCATAGCCATTTTATTCAACTGCATGCTGAATAGTACTTGTACTATTTTTAATAACAACTTCTGTTACGGCTTTGTTAACACAAATCTGGAGAATTTATTCAACCACAACATTGAACTACTTTGGTATTGTATAAGGTATGTCGAGAAGCTTTTATTCGACTTATATGAGTTGTAACAGAGTTCATACGATAATTTTTTTGATTATTCAGCGTTTATTAGACATCACTGCTTCCTTTAAACAGTGATGCTCTGTATACGCTTGATTCTCATGTGAAGTAACGTTTAATTAGACATTATTATACATTTATTAAACGATAATTCAACTGTGGGAAAATTAACCCGAAAATAAGAGGGGCGGGGACAGACAGGGAAGGAAGGTTGTGTTTCTTAAGTGTAATTGTATCCATTATTTCTGACGTTGCTCGCACCACACAGATATTAGAAAATTTATAAATACTTATACATGTCGTTGTATGGGATTCGAACCATGTACCTTCCGATCACCAGCCGCTTGCCTTGTCATCTGAGCTATCCTAGAATTCATCATATGGGCAACTCAATAATCAATAAAAGCTTGCATGAAAGTAAATACCTATCAGCACTCCCGATCGCAACTCTAGCTCCTTAAAGGCCCTGTGGGAATGATTAATTCATTCATCGTTGTTTTAAATGAGACCAATGTTGCCTTTTCACCACTCCAATCCCAAGGAAGGTTATTTTTTGAACTAGATAAATGCATTCATTATCGTGAGTCATGTGATCGATGATTACTATTTAAATTAATTAGATGTAGAACAAAAATAAAAAAAAGGGTTAAGCTTGGGATTGAACTCACGACCTTCTAATTGGAAAGCGGAAACGGTAACCACTACTCTACTGTTTTCGCCTTGTTGTTAGATTGAATCAGTGTTGTCGAATAATGAATCTAATACGTCGTTTGTAAAGCATTTACAAATCATGTGATTACAACATGGACGCATAGTTGTATAAGAGCTATTATGCTGACTGTATTCACCTTTATTCAGCACTATTGTAAAGTAATGCAATGAAATCTAATAAAGGAGCTGGAGAACATTTATTAGACGTCTAATAAAGCATGTTATTAAATCAATTGAAAACAGTCGAATTAAAGTGTCAATGTATGTACAAATTACACTTATTCAGTTTGTTATTAGATCAAACTTCTGGCGTTGAATTGGGAGACATTTAACACTTTTACAGCTTTTAATAAGTAAATTAATCAGATCAGAGCAAACAGTTGATTAAATGTGCATCTATGGATCTCAATGAGCTTTTTCGGCACATAATTCGACAACTCTTTTTATTCAGCTTTGTACACTGTTATACAGCATTTATTCAATATATATGCTTATTTGTGACTCTGAATTGTTTGTTGGGTGGTATAAGAGCTATTTTGCTGAGTGTATTCACCTTTATACAGCAATATTGTAAAGCAATGCAATGAAATCTAATAATGGAGCCAGAAAACATTTATAAGACGTTTAATAAAGCATTTTATTCAATCAATTGAAAACAGTCGAATTAAAGCGACAATGTATGTGCAAATTACACTTATTCAGTTTGTTATTAGATCAAACTTTTGGTTCTGAATAAGGAAGACAGTCAACGTTTATAAAGCTTTTAATAAGGAAATTAATCATATCAGAGCAAACGGCGGAATAAAGGCGCATCTACCGATCTCAATGATCTTTTTTCAGCACATAATTCGACATCCTGTTTTATTCAGCATTGTACACTATTATACAGCATTTATTCAATGTTTATGCTTATTTGTGACTTTGAATTGTTTGTTGGGTTCTCGAGGCACTCAGATTTGTAGATCTCGCCATTTACTGTGCCCTTTGTCACGAAAGGCTCACTCCTCAGTCCGCAAGAGCAGATGGCCTGCCAGATGAGATATTTGGAGGCGAACTTCGACATTTTCTTCTTCTTAAATTTGTCGTCCACATCGAACTTGCTCTTGCCGGTGAAAAACTCCAACCCCGGAATTTGCTTAAAATCGGCTTTTATATACGTTTCGTCGTCCATCACACAGCAGCCATATTTTGTCAGCATCTTCTCGTAGAGCTTCCGTGCCCGAGTTTTAGCCGTCGATTGTTGCCGCTCATCGCGGTTTGGGAAGTTCTGTACCTTGTATGTATGTAGTCCAGCTCTCTTCTTTGCATTCTGGACGTAGCTCTGCGACATGCCGATCTTTTTAGCCAAATCACGGCTTGAGACGTTGGGATTTGCTTTAATCATCCGCTTCACCTTTCCCTCCGTCTTTTTGTTCTCCGGTCCCGGTTTTCTTCCACCTCCTTTGCCGTGGTTCAACGTCAACCGCTCCTGGAACCGCTTCAACACTCTGAAGACGGTTGAATGGTGAATGTTGCCGGTGCGACAGGTCAGGAAATTCCAGGTGTTTGGAAAGAATTTGTTCTCTCAACTCGCGTTGGTTCACCTCCATTTTCGTTGAATCGAAAAACACGACTTCGAGTTTGACAGCATGTACACAATACACATCAATGAGAAAGTGTGCAAAATTTGGTTGATTTTTACCCAATGGTAAAAAAGTTATGCCCTGTTGAATGTGTCGCAATAATTTCGTGTTGGCCCTTTGCATACTTTTTTTAATTATTTGAGATAGACCAATGCAATTTTCTAAAAGTTGTAGAACAATCAATTCGAAGCAATTTTGCTCAAGACACCAAATTTTTATCTCTTAAGGTTCATGAGTTATGATTTTTTAAACAAGCAGGTTAGAATGGCCCATAAAAAACAGATTTCTTCGAATATCTTTTCATTAGTTCATTTCTCGTAAAAACCTTGTTTTGGTTACATTTAGAACTTAGGATGACGCATATTTTTGCTGAAGCAACCAGGCTGCTATCTTTTTTTTATTATTAGAAAATTAATGGAGGTTTTCTTCGAAAAAATGGTTCTATTAAAATGACAATGTCTCTAAATCGAGCAAACCTATTTTCAAACTTTCGATTTCATTTAAAAGATCGTATTTTTTCAGTATTTGTGGAAAAACTGTGAGAGCGTTTTTTGTTTAAAGTACCTATTTAATTTAATTTAAAAAAAATCTTTTTTTTTATCAAAAACTAGCCATAATATTTAAATAAAGGAGATTCAAATTTGTGACTTCAGCAAAAATATGCGTTGTAAAAAGTTCTAAAAGTATTTAGCATAATGTTTTTACGAGAGGTTACGAGAGGCTAGAAAATCGGCTTTCTTTAAATATTGTTTATACGTTGATCACCAATAAAAATATTAGAAGAAAGATTTTCTAGGGACCACTCCAACCTACTTCTTTAAAATAACCATAAGTCATGAACCATAAGAGATAAAAATTTGATGCCATGAGCAAAGTTGGTACAAATTTTTAAAAAAACTGCATTAGTCTATCTCAAGTAATAAAAAAGGTTGAATTTTCAATCCACCAATTTTAAGGACCACCCTAATTTAAAATCGACTAAAAAATACGAATAAGCTTTCCCCAAGATGGTTTTGGTGCTAATATTTTTGTCTTCATACATACGGCTTTTATGGATGTTCAGGATCTTCCTGGTGAACCATCTCGTGGTCCCAAAGGTCCATTTTCCGTCTAAGCGTTCATATTCCGGATACAACTCCAAATTCATTCTGATAAAACGTTTATGAGTGGTTTCGCAAACTCATGGAGCTCTAGGATCAGTCTCATGAATTGACAACTTTTACGGATGTTCCGGATCTTTCGGTCGGATCTCTGTAGTCCTCAGAGTCCAAATTCTAGTCAAAACTCCGAATTAACTGTAATAAGACGTTTATGAAAGGTTTAAACAAAAACATGGAGCTCTAGGATCAGTTTCATGAATTGACCACTTTTACGGATGTTCCGAATCTTCTTTTGAACCATCCTGTGGTCCCCACAATCAATATTCAGGTCACAACTCTTAATTCATTCTGATAAAACGTGTATGAGTATTTTCGGAAAGTTCACGGAGCTCTAGGATCAGTTTCATGACTTTACCACTGTTACGGATGTTCCGGATCTTCCCGTGGACCATCTTGTAGTCCCCAGAGTCCATATTCCTGTCAAAACTCCGAATTAATTGTGATAAGACGTCTATGGGCGGTTTCGAAAAAAAAACACGGAGCTCTAGGATCAATTTCATGAATTAACCACTTTTCAGGATGTTCCGGATCTTCCGGTGAACCATTCCATGGTCCCCAGAGTACATTTTCCTAACACTACTCCGAATTTATTGTGATAAGACGTCTATGAGTGGTTTAAAAAAAACCGCGGATCCACAGGATCAGACTTGTGTCCTACCGGAAACTGAATCGTCCCAACATTCTGCTTAACAACTTCTGCTTAACAACTTCTCAAAAGACATCAGGAAGTTATCTCTTCAAATTGCCGTACAATCAGTGTTTGGTCCCATTTTTGATTCTAAATTCGTTCTACGAGTTTCAATTCCGTCCTAAAGCATTGAAACGCCATTAGATTTTCTTCGTCCTACGCATACACGTAGAAAAAAGGGATTCGCTAGAAGCGCTTCTTTTGTTTTGAGAACAATGAGCGAAAATATTCATACAATGCGCTCTAATAGGATTTATATTGTAGTCAATGAACTAACGCATCGGAACAAACATATTATTGATTTGTGCACGGTGAAATCATTGATATTATTGATCTCTTCTGATCGATAGAACGGAAATGGGCGATTACGACGAAGTAGCGCTCTACCCTATGTATTTTTTTTTAAATTTATTTTAGTGAATTTTTCCCATTGGCTAGTTCTTCACTTAGTGTAGGTATGTATTCAATTGTCCTGCTTTTTCACCACTACACTAGATTAAAGGTCAAAATACACGGTTCAAGCGAATTGATACAACTCATCCTCGATCTTATGGTACCCGTTCAACTGACATGGAAGTGACCAGGAAAAGTGTACTCGGTCAACTGTCGTTCAATTGAGTAGAATCGCAAATAAAATAAAAAGCAAATGCCAAACACTCACCTTGTACTCGGGTAGGCTGTACAGAATCACCTTCCGGTTGGCATCGCACGCGACCAGCAGTTTATTGTCCGGTGAGTACTTGCAGTCCGTCACCGGGCCCAAATGATCCAGCTCCACCTTCGGGCTCAGTTCCGTTCCACTCAAGCCGAAAACGTGCACCTTGTTGTCGCTGCCTCCCACGGCAACATCCAACGTTTCCGCATTGATGCTGACGCCGCTCGATTCGAAATTGATAGGAATCGATGACGCCTTTCGACTATCCTGCAGAACGGTCACATCCTTTACACAACCGACTACGGTGATGTTACCCTCCTTGAGGATATCCATTCCTCTTGGTTGGCAGCTTAACTTAGCATCCACGCCGGTATACTTATTGCCCTCAATAATGATCTGCTTGATAGAATCGTCGATTCCGGCCGTGTACACGAAATCCCCAGAGGCACGAATATCGTTGATCTGGTTGCCATGGCCGACACCTCCAACACGGTCGTTCGTACCGGAACCGGAGTTCCAATTCGTAACGGCACCGTCATGGCTGGCGGTGTAGATTGTGCTGCGATCGTCACTCAAGGTAAGAGCGGTAATCGGTTTGTTGTGACCTTTGACAATACGCAGCGGTTTGGTGGGATTGTTAACATCGAGGTAGTTGATAAATCCGGATAGCGAAATGGTAAGTAGATGCTCGCCTTGCCATAGGCAAGACACCTGCTGATCGTCGATCGTGGATCCCATCGGGAACTCGCTGATCAACGTACGGCTTTCAACATCCCACAACTTGCAGGTCTTATCACCCGAGCAAGTTAACAGCTGAGTTCCATCTGGCTTCCATGCAACGCCGTAAACGCCTCCTCCATGTGCTGGGGATCCAATCTCACCCAACAGTTCTGAGGTAGTTCCATCGTACAGGAAGACTTTACCGTCGAATCCTGCCGAGGCAAACAAATGACCACTTGGCGAGTAGCGGACCGCTTGTACAAACCTGGTATGGTCCTGCTTGGTCATCTTGAACTTGAATGGTGGTCCTTCAAATACTCCAATCGTATTGTCTTCGCTGCCGGTAATGATCCGGAACGGTCTAGCCGGTCTAAAATCGCACGAGTTGATCGGTTTAGATTGGCCGGAGATCTCGCCAACCGAGGTGCCCGTGTCAGCCATGAATACATGGCCGAATCGTTCCCTTCCTTCGCCGACAATCACGATCCGCTGACTGTCCGGCGACCAGCTGATGTCCTTGATCGGACCCCCGATCGGTTGGAACTCGTTCTTGAGAATGTGCTCCTTGTTGACCGTATCCCAGATGCGGATCTTACCGGACTGGTCACCGGAAGCGATGTAGAATCCGCTCGGCGAGTACTTCGCCACATTAACCTGGCACGAGTGCTCCGTGTAGATGTCGGCAATTTCCGGATTATCAATGTTCCGGATGATCACCGAGTGACCGTTGGTGTAGAGGAAGTTCTTGCCCTTGGGATCACCGCCTAGCACGATCGGTTGACCCCGCTGCGTTCGCGGCAGGGTGGCGTAGATGAATTCTGTTGGTTCGGAAGAGGGAAACGAGATGATAGGGTTAGAATATTAGGCACATATTTGTATTGTCTGTGCGGAAATGGGAAAACTCTGTATCATAGAAGGAGTATATTCAAGACAGCTAGGACTTTTCGGAGATTTAAACTGGAGTTTATCAAAGCTTCAGAAACTGATTTAAAATCGACAGGTTCTGGAAGATCTGATAAAAAGGATTTTTTTATAACAAGGGCGCATGTATCAGTAGTTTTCAAACGTAACAGGAGAAGGCAGTCACATTCAAGAGTGACTTCAAGTTATGTTTTGAAGAAGAAATATAAAATAGTTCTAACATTTTTACGATACCCCGCATAAAATTCCATAAGATTACCGTAAAATAGAAAGAGATATCGCAACAAATTCCAAGCTGTTTTCGCTAAGACCATCCTCGGCGAAATCGACTCTCCAGAGCTTATTTGACAGCTCTAGTTATATGCAGCTGTAAGAGTGATGAAACAAAGTAGCGTCGTGAATCGAGTTAATCTTCTTTTTTTATCGATAAATGGACATTGGACCTATTCAAAAATTAATCGAGAATTACAGGTATTCCTATTTGCTTAAGAGCCTAAATTTATAAAGAGGCGACATGTCAAAATTGGAACAATCGATTGTATGTCAAAATCGTAGGAAAAGTCATTCCAATCGAGCAGAAGATCTGTCAAATGGATAAGATGTCATCTCTTTATAAATTCAGGCTCTTTACTATTTACTATTGCTCTTAATGCATTTACGCAAAGTCACTCCAGCGCGCTCAAAGGTTTGGTTTTTGTTTGACCCAACTAGATCTTGCGTCCACCTAGAGGCGCAACAATCTACTCGAAGGGTATATTTTGTCAGACCCAATTAGGTATACCATCTATTCAGAGACGTACTAACCCACTTAGAGGTTAGACTGTTGCACAACCAGCAACGTCGAGCGTCTACTCAAAGACGGGAATCCATTTTCACCAACCCTCTGCCTCTGGATCTCAGTCATCCTCAAACTACACCAAGTTGTATGACCGTATACAGTTGTATACAGTATGAGATTAGAGAGGTCAGCCATACTTTGAAATGAGATTCTCGGATTAAGAAATATTTCCCTGAATTTTAATGAAATTCTCTGAATTTCCAGGTCTAAAACCGAATTTCCTGAAAATCCCTAAATTTGCAGGTTCTTAGCACTAGTTCGAACTAGTGATTAAATTAATTGTAAAATTGTTTTAAGGACAAGGTTGACAGAATCCCCAAATGGCCGTTGGCATGGCTGATGTTCCTTGCAGTTGCGCCCAAATCTCAAATCAGTCCAGAAATGCGATAATACCTTTGATTCAGGATTCTTTACTTGGACTGTTCTGTTCTAAAATCCTCTAGTAAACCAGACGATTGGAACAGCTTTTGTCAGACGTCCATACTGTTACTAGTATAATAATGCTTTATTTTTTTTTTTTTTTAATTCTTTATTTAAGAGATTTTTAGCCTTAGGCTAGTTCATCTCTACTATAATGCTTTATTCTATTTTCGAACAAAGAAACGCTGCGGAAAATTCGAACCACCCTGACTGTGTGTCTTATTTGAGATGGACTATAACATAAGGGGCCATACTTTATTTATGATACGCTCTTCCCCCCGTCACGGTTTTCCTATACCTAACACAGCGTGACATAATTTATGGATCACCCCTAAGAACATTTGAATCTCAATTCATTTGTTCAAGTGCCTTTGCGTAGAAACCGTCGTAAACGATCCTAACATGAATAAAAAGTTTACGTTGATCCATCAGCCACGCATGACGGACAACGCTAAGCATTTCTTTACAAATGCAGCACATTATAAAACAAATCAAAACTAATCAACGCCCTCCTGCGTGTAATGGGGCTTATACACACTGTTATCTGTTACATACAACGTATCGTTGTACCGTACGACATATGGTAAAACCATAGCGGTTGTGCCACCAGATTGCAGTGTGTATTGGCTCCATAAGACCCGTACAAAACTGCCCTACATTGAACCGCGAGGTTCCCCATATCGTACTCCACTCTATCTCTGTAGGTATTTTTTTTATCAGATAAGCTTCGCTGAACACTATCGCGGCGATTGACTCATGTCCCCTCCGTTCGGCTTCGATGACTCCTCAGCTTTCTGCCGCCACAGCAGCAATAACAGAACAATGACGGAGACGATACCCAATTTTATCATTTCGCTGCAATTCGATTTGTCCATCCTACATCGAATCACCGAAGAAAATATGCAGTGGTTGTTTTTCACATGCCGACTTTCGGATTTCCACTCCAACGTCGCACTGGTGGGTGCAAGTTATGTCGAAATAGTTTCAACAAAGAAGGAAATCCAAATCGAAGCAAGTCGTCGGTTTGTCCGAGTAGGCGGTTTATTTTTAACCAGACTTTTCTTTCTACGCGTATTCGACGTACTCCCCCCCCCCCCCTCCCCCTGGACATTTCCGCTTACTTAGACCACCAATACCTATACTATTGCGCCACCGACTGTGCATTAAATAGCTTCTGGTGTGCAGTCAGTCAGCGGTTGCTCTGATTCTTTTCTATCGTTCTCGCTGGGTTGGGTTGTGATTGGGTGGGGAGGAAGAATAGAATGAAAAAGAGTGTGTACATGCACTCCGTGAAATCACCATGTAATGGACGGGGAAGATGACGAGGGGTTCAATGCCACGGCACACACTGCGATGGCGGAGCCAATGGGGTCCACAGTGCTTTCACCGTACTATTTTTTTGTTTTAGTTTTTGGCGTCGACAAAGTTGCAGCAGCCGCCCTATGATTCATAGCACAAGCAGCCGGTTTGGTATTTTTCTACGTCCATTTCGACGACTACAATCGACCTCCACCCGTAAAAAGAATGTTGGGTGTTGGTTGATTCACTTTTTCCACTCGTCACCATCGTCGTCGTTGTTGCCTTGCGGACGTTCACGGAGAAATTCCAAATTTGGGAATTTGATTACTTACTGTTCGAGTAGGCCATGGTTTTGTTCCTCCAACCGGTTCCAAACAAGGCTGCTGCGATCAATCCAAGCAAAAGTAACAAGCAAAAGCAGAAAATTCACCGTTTTCCAACAACAATCGGTACTTCCTCGCACCGGAAAAATAACACCACTAATCGCGTTAAATTCACACGAAACAGACGGTCACCACAGCGCGTCGCTCTCCGTTTTAGTGGAGCTGTATTTTTCGCTAACAAAACACTCAACTTTGTCGGCTTTCGCTAGCACTAAACGCTCTTTTGCAACAACACACGACGACGTTTCCTTTTTTGGCATAAAATTTGTCTGGCTCTGATGCAGCACACTCCGTCCCGTTCTGGCGTACGACGAAATAATGAATGACGGTGTCGAACAACGAGCGAGCAGCAGTCCTTCGATCGAGAAGTACCGGTATCATGAGTACACACGGCGTGAGTCCAGCAACCACTTGTGAACGGTATTTTTTCTCATACCATTCGTCTCATTCTCCTCGCCAGTAGTTCACGGCGGGCTGTCAGTCGTATTGCAATTAAAGCACCGTTTCTTGCAGTGTATGGCGTGAAATATTTCAATTTCAGTGTTGTTTGCAAACAAAATCGGCGAAGTTCTTCGAATGCTCGTGTGCAATTGTTACAATTTCGGTTCATTTTAAGTGTTTTTTCGCAGTTAACACAATGCAAAACAAAGTGGCCACCCTGAAGACGCAGACGCCCTTGTTCGGACAGCTGGTCATCGGTCCTCCCGGCTCGGGGAAAACAACCTACTGCGCCAAAATGAAACAGTTTCTAGAGAAGCTAGACCGGAACGTTACCGTCGTCAATCTGGATCCGGCAAACGATAACATGGAGTACGAAAATACCATCGACATCATGCAGCTGATAACGGTTCAGGACGTAATGGAGCAGTTCAATCTCGGCCCGAACGGAGCGCTAATCTACTGTATAGAGTTCCTGGAAGCGAACTTCGGATGGCTTTTGGAACAGCTGAAAGCTTCCCCCTGCAAGTACTTCATATTCGACTGTCCCGGCCAGGTGGAACTGTACACCCATAACAACGCGATGAGGAACATTTTCGAACAGCTGGAAAAACTTGGCTACCATTTATGCACGGTTCACCTTGTAGAATCCCACCACTGTTCCGAACCGCACAAATTCATATCCACGTTACTTCTGTCGCTCCACGCCATGCTACAGATGGGACTACCGCACGTGAACGTCCTCAGCAAGGCAGATTTGTTCAAAGAATTCGAATCGAAACTGATCTTCAATCTGGAGTACTACACCGAAGTGTTGGACTTGAACTATTTGTTGGAATGCGTGGACAGTTCCATGGGCGGGCCGCAGAACAAATACAAGAAGCTGAACGCGGCCATCGTCTCGATGGTGGAGGACTACAGTTTGGTTTCCTTCAACCTGCTCGACTGCAATAAGGAGGATAGTTTGCTTAGACTGAAGAATGCTATCGATAAAGCTAACGGGTACGTGTATGGTGCTGGGGAAGAAAAGAACCTCAATACCCTGCTGGCCTGTGCTGTGGGAGCGGAAACGCAGACGGAACGAATGGAACGGGACGTCAACCCATATAAAAGTTAGATCTAAGATAATAAAAGACGATTATAGATGTAGTTGTGATGGGTGCCGTTAATCGAAAGAAACATCCTACGATTCACGATGGGGACCAGTGTTGGAAAAGTTCGCGATATTCCACGAAGTTCACCAAGGGAAAAGTTCGCGAGTCATAGTGAGTTTTCGCGAACTTTTCCATCACTGATGGGGACAATCTTGAAATCAGGTAAGTGGATGAAGGTGCTTTTTTATTATTATAGGTAAGTTTATTCAATAAGTCTTTCTACCATCAAATCCAACGGATTTTGCCCCGATTTTTCCTGAGCATATGTCTATAATTACCAATGATTGAACTTTGTTCTGGATTATTGTGCGATTTGATGTGACGCATTAAGGGGTTCGGGCACCCGGAATGTGTCCATTGAATTACAATGTCATTAAAATTTGATGTGTCGATGGGTTTGACACGTTACAGGTCATCTCTAGTCTCGTAACCTGTACTCACCAGAACTTGTACAATATTCTATGACGATCTATGAGAAATTTCATTTGACGGTAGTTGCGTCCAACTTGGTTCAGTGGTTGCTGAGAAACACAGTGGAACTTTAGTACTTGGTACTAAGAAAGTCCCATGAATCGATGGAGACGCATGGTAGTCTAGTCGCATAGGAGTATTGAGCGAAAACCCAAAATTTCATAACTTAAAAAATATATGTAACTCAAAAAGCTCTATAGAATCACAATACCTTTGAATTAATCGAAAATTAGAACAAAATGTTAGCATCGAAAAGTGACTCGCTACCAGCCCTGAAATTCCCAGGTTTCGTTTTTTTTTTCATGTAACAGTGGGCCACTTTAATATACACTGACCCTACAATTTATGGATCAGTTAGTCTAGCATGTCAATCAAATGGAAGTGTTCCTTAATTGTGGGCGATACTTGGGATTATAACCATTCTTTGCAATAAGCGAACAAGTACTGTCTGTCTACAATATTCCATTTCCCTTAATACTTTTTTTTTTTCATGGTAGCACAGTAGATCCACAACTTTTCGATCTTTCTCATGATTGTTAATTCAGCATTAAAATTTAATGTTAACCCTCTCCTTCCCATGGCAGCACGATTGTACGATTTATCCGCGAAAACAAGTTTCTCGAATGGTACAATTCTCCGAAAAAGTTACGCTTTTCAATCTTTAAATATGATGTTGGTTCTATATTCCCAGAAAAAACAAAGTAGGCTCTGGTTGCAAGTAGACGTGTTTATTTTTTCGCTGTCATTTTAAGTGAAATGTCCATGCGCCGAGTAGAACCGTGTCATAATATAACCGAGTTCCGTCCGCAACGATGTGTAGCCGCGTGTGCTGTCGTTTTTTTTCTGTAGCATATGCCAGTAGGCAAAAAATTTGTTTTAGAGAGTGTAAAAATGCTGTTATTGACTCCAAGAGCTACCAGAGTGTGTCTCAGTTGCATTTCGGAAATATGCTACCAAGGGAAAAAAAAACAAATTTCACAGAGCAAGCAGAACCGCTAATCTGTGTATGTTCTGGAGTAGGACCGGTACCGTGATCGTTCTGTTACCTGTGTAACCATTGTTATGATTAACATTAGATGAATCACGAAATTAGATGCAAAGCGTAGAGAAAAACAAAACTACGGAACCCATGGATGGGAGGATCGACTAAATTTTCAATAGCGACCAAAAAAAGGCCATTAGTACCGTCCCAATGACGCGTTCATCTAGATAAAATTATTAAATAGCAGATTTTTACCGATGGTCCCAATCTTAGATCCATAGGCCAACATTAGAGCCATTTCCCCTACGTGCATTCAAAAGAACATTTTGAAACTGGAAGTGTGTGTGTGTGTAATACTAATATCCAATTCATAGAGGTAATACGGGGCTTATTGTAAGTGAAAGTAACCTCGGAATGGGCGTGACTCTCAAGACATTCTGAAATGGGTTGCTGGATCTGCAATAGAGCTATCACCTTCTAAGTTAGAAGTTCTAACTCCATGACTAAAGCTGTCTGCAATGACTTTAAATGCGACATTGTAGACACTGTCGACCAGTGACCCTTTGGGAAGAACTGTGTGCCAGAACCATAGACATTTTCCTTTGGATTTTTTTCTTCAAAGTATAACAAATATTTTTACCACCAAAGTGCCAAAACTCCGCGCATTTCGCCATTATATGATAATTTTATCTAAATTTATATAAATTTTCAAAATCGCGTGGAATTAGGCCTTAGGTGCGCAGAATTATGGTATTAATTAATTATAAAATTCATTGATAGAAACATCACACCAATTTTATTGAATAATGTTTTTGTTTGATACCCACCATTTCTTCGACCCCATGCAAAATATTCTTATTAACGGTCCATCGGGTTCTTCACCTGACCCATGTACAGAATCTGATTCGTACGTTTGTCCACAATCAGAAAGGCAAAGGGTCGGTTCGCAATGAACCGCGGCGGTGTTGCTTTATTGACAAATATGGCAGCCGTCGATGCTGCCGCGGTCGTTCCCTCTTCGTTGACCACTATTTTGCTTTTCTGGATGACCGTGTTGACGAAGATGTCGTCAGCGATCTTGTTGAACTGTGCGGCTCCCTTGTTTAAAGCGAGACGGATACCCATCTGTAAATTGCGGGTAGATTGCAGAGGGATTAGATTTGCCCAAGAAACTGTCAAAAGAAAATAAAAATCTTACATCGTACAATGGACTATCCAAGTAGAGATCGTTAGTGATCTGGAATTGTGGTAGATAAACTTCAACTTCATCGTCTTCGTACTCTTCAGCAACCTGCTTCAGTTCGCGGTAGATTTCTTCCATGCTGAAATCTGCCAATCGTGCCACAATTTCTTGCAGTGCTACCCCTTTACGAGGAAGTATTACCAACATACTCAAATGACGATCGCTGCCATATGGAAGTTCTACGATCTGTGCTTGCAGTTCCCGGAAGGCAGCAAATGGAAACACGGCCTTTTGAAACATCATCGGCACCGTCGCTACGATTTGTTCATTCTCGTTGTAGAAAGGAGCATCAGTCGTTAGCGATCGGTTGAATGGAAACTGAAATTCATTGATTGTAGATTAAGAAGGTCGGGTAAGTGAGATAGTTCAACAAACCGTCCAATCACCCTGGAAGAACAGAACCGAAAGCAGTAATAGTCTTGCATCTTTGACATCCGTTGGGTAAACTGCTCTGGCAATTTGACCTTTGGTGGCATCGGAAACGACTTTGTTTATATGATCGTAACTCATCTTTATCGCCGCTCCAGAACTGCTGAAATCCAAGGCCTCAAATAACTGGTCTCCATAGAAAGTATGTATACTATGCTCGAAATCCTGTTTCACCGGTTGATTTTTGTTGGTGAACATAAACTGAGCGGATAATATCTCCAATCCACTGCTGTTGACACTAGAATAAAAAGGGGGAAAGATTAGGACAATCCAAATCTTGCATGAGGCTACGATTGAACTTGCTTGGTCGTTTGCTGCATCTCTTTGAATTTATGTCTAATCAGACTTTGATTTTGAACATTCATAACATTGAGAATCTCGTGCAGAGTCTCACCTTCGGCACCCTCGCTTAGCAATGCCAGCAGAGTCCATACGGACAGCGGGGACATTATGATATTTTTCGTCTTCACTTCACCATGGTCTTCGACACGTTTAACCACATGCTGACAAAAATGAAACACATTTCAAGATAACGGAAGAAGTACATTTTTAGCTGGGTAAATTACCTTGAATAAATTAAGGGCAAATTTCTGCGAACCCTCGTAAAGATTGTTCTTTGAATTCACTAAGATCGGATCCGTCGACGGTTGCTTTTCCTGCTGGTCTTGGCCTGCGACAAGCGCGATCAACGTGAAGGCCACCACAGTCTGCAAAGCATTTCTGTTCCCTGCGAAATAAACCAGTATTAGGGGAATTTACGTATTCTCGTCAATCTAAGCAGCGTCCGAACTTCTATTAGCGATTTCTCAGCGTCATACCAATTCCAATTGACAGAATTGATCAAAACGGGTTGAACATGTTTTTACAACGCTCCAAACTTCTCAGGTGAGAGTGACTATTGTCGGCAGTCTCTTTTTCTTCGGCACCCTTTCCATTTGAACTGCGTGTTAACCAGCTGTTCTATTATCGGCAACTCGAAATCAGCCGTATTTTGTAGTATGTATATTTCATTTAAAGAAAAATATGGTATAACAGGAATTCACAGTCGTAAAAATGTAATCAGATTGAAGCTGAAAAGGTAAGGAATCGGCTTAATACATTCAGCGAAGAGTTTTGATGGGAAAATACAGTGAAATAAACGTTTCAATTTCGGTTGCCGAAAACAGTCAATGGGTGCCGAAGCCATAATTTACCCTATCACAATACACCACATTGAAAAAAAAACATAAACACATCACGACATGAGTAACCGGTTTGTGATCGTATTGAACTCTTCACTTCGTTTACGTCATGACTTATGAGATGTTGGTCGAAAATACGAGTCAAGGTCATCACAATCGGTGCTGCAGCTTACCCTTACAATTTGCAGCCATCTCGATCAAGGTGATATCAAACAGGATTTCCTCCAGGTAGAAGCACCTAATGCTGCATTAAGAAGATTGAGGCTTCCTGATCTTACGACAGTAGGCAGTAGATCACACTCAAAGCTCAGCTACTACAGTACAGTTCTGTCTATCCGCACGTTCCCAGATAGCACCAATACCACCGAAATCGATACGTTGAATGAATATAATTCTCGATCACTTAGTGTGATTCAGGTGGGGATTTCCGACTGGATCGTTATCCTGTGTGACACACAGCGATGATCGCGGCAGTATATTTCCTATACGCACGTTGAATTTCGTTTACGTCCTATTCGGACGAGAGCGCGATCTTTACTAATCTCCCTGCAACCGCAACGCATTAGACTAGGCTAATAGAAGTACGATGATGACGATCACTCTTCTCTCACAACACTGCTCTCTCCGAAATCATTTGTCGAGTATGGACTACGGGAATGGAGAATTTCCTCAGAATGTTGGTCCTTTCATTGAATGGATGGATTTTGCAGGTTTTCCCTAAGGGCATACCTAGGTAAATTCTGTTATCACTTTTGCGAACTGAGAGGCAAGACGTTATTCCTAATTCTGCATTCCATTCATTCTGTATTTCCGTTGTTATCAATGCTTGTGGTTGAACGGTGGTGTAAAAATTCCCTGAGATGCTTTGAATTTCTATGACTGGTCGCTCTAAGTGAAAGGCCTTCAATTGAGTAGGCATTACTTTCCACCATCAAAGCCGGCAGATGTCGCCCCGTCCAGTGGCGGATAAACTAGTTTTGCGGTATAGGAATTTTCGAATAATTGTCGTTTTCTCTTCAAAATTGCTTCCTGTGGTTAGAATTGTTTTACATTTTCTTATTTTAACTAACAGTGACAATACAGTACTGGACGAAAGTATACACGCTATTTTGAAAGTACCCATTAATGGTTGAAAAAGACTCATTTTGAAGAAAAGTGGCTTAACTCATTAAATGAGTAAATTTTTTACACATTAATGAGTATCTGTTACCCATTAATGAGTAATTGTTAATCATTAATGGGTAACAGATACTCATTAATGGGTAAAATTGTTTAATCATTAATGAGTTAAGCCACTTTTCTTCAAAATGGGTCTTTTTTACTCATTAATGAGTACTTTCAAGTTAGCGTGTATAACATCGTGTTTATATTTTCTATCTGAAAAGGTTGAATAAGCTGTAACTTTTCAGGATGTGCATCTTAATTTCTCAATTTTTTGGCTGCTATTCAAGGTGTATCGGTATAGTTTTCAACTTGATTAGATTAGATAGTCCATCTATACCAAGCACTGGGAATAAGGCCTGTACTCGAAAAAAATGCACCAGACAAAAGTGTTCGCCAAAAATTTATTTTAAGTCGGATTTCCTTGAAACTTTCAGGGAATGAACTAATACATATGGATTATGTTTCGGCACAATTACTTTATTCAATTTCTTTTCCATCGCTGAAAGCCCGCATCTTTCTCTTAAGACCCCTCATTACATTTTGTGCAATGGTGGAGCCGACCTTTTTGGCGAGGGGGGCGACACATCTAAATCTCAATTCTAGATGCTCAACAAATCTCACACTAGCCAATCAATCTTCGAAAAATCTTCAATCATTTCTCCCATCTACTTGCATCGCACATCATCTTTTTGGAGGAAATCTTCAGAATCGTCATCAATCTTCTTTCTATCTACTCAGTGTGCATGCAGTTAACCACAGCAAAACACAATTTTTCCTGTATCGTAGATAGAGTCGCCCCCCTCGCTTTTTGGTCACTTTCATCCCTTTCTTCAACTCCACCGCGTTCTTAAACACCTTGGACGATTTTCGAGCTTTGGCCTTCATTATGGCCCAAAATCTTTCCACCGGACGAATCTCTGGTGAATTTGGGGGGTTGGCGGTTTTTGGTACAAAAACAACGTTATTGTCTCTGTACCAATCCAACGTCGATCGCGCGTAGTGGCATGATGCCAGGTCCGGCCAAAATAATGTCTCGTCTCCGTGGGACCGCAGGAAGGGCAACAGACGCTTATGGAGGCACTCGGTGCGGTAAATTTCGCTGTTGATGGTACCCATTGTGATGTACGGTTTACTCAGTTTACCGCATTGGCTATGGCCTGCCAGAGCAAGTATTTTTTGGCGAATTTGTCCACTTTCTTCTTCCTTATGTCTTGCGGAACATCAAACCGTGATTTGGCAACGTAGAACTCCAGCCCCCCGGTATCTGCTTTGCGTCTGCCTTGATGTAGGTTTCGTCATCCATAACCACACACATCGGTTTCGTTAACCACTCTCAATACAGCTTCCTTGCGCGGGATTTGGCCGCCGTGTTTTGTTGATCACGCCGGTTCGGTGCCTTCCGGACCTTGAATACACGAAGCCCAGCTCGTTTCATGGTTTGCTGAACGAACCAGGCGGAACACTTTGCCTTCAGAGCCGCGTCGCGAATCGAAAGGTTCGGATTACGCTTGAAATAATCCAACACCTTCCGGGCCTTCACAGGGTCAGCTGTCTTCGATTTTCTTCCACTTCCAGCCCGCCGCTTGGTCCTTAAACGATTTTACCACCCGAGACACAGTTGTATGGGTGATTCCCAGTTGTCTTACGATCCATCTCATGGGATTGATTATAGCAAAACTTGCCACATACAATCGTCATAGTTCATTTTAGTAAACAAACTAACACTTCTTCCTTGTCCTTGGCACCTTTACTAACCCCTTTAGAATCTGAGCGCCGTCTATTCTTTGGCTTGTGTCAGATGTCTTCACTAACGTTTCAAGTTTGCTATAGTACGCCAATAATCTATAAATTTAAGTTGAATAAGAGTGGCACTTATAAGATAATTCAAGCTGAACATTGCTTTAGGTCCTAAGTAACATTCACAGCTTCTCTACATCGATTTACTCTTTGTATTCCCACGGCCATGTAAAGACATTCCCATGTATCTTCAGCACATAGATCGATAAAAGAAGCTAATACGATAAACACATCAAGAAACGGTTTTATGCTCATGACTTATGACTTAATTTGTTTATTTGGTTCTACATCAATAGACTGGGTTTAGTCCTAATGATGGATTAAACAATACTAGGAAATACAATATAGCCAAGAAGTAACAAGTTGCAAAGGTCGTGAAGTCCAACTTAATTCCTAATTCTTAAAAATATATTACGGAATCTCTGACGCAGCGTCTCGCGTGCCAAGTGAAAATCAAAAAAGGAAGCAACACGATTAAAAACCCTTTGTAGCCCATTGATAGCACCATACGGGCTATAGTTTGTACGACGAAAAGGCATCCTCAGCATTGCGTTGTTACGGAGTGCTCGTGGTTGAACGTTAACGTCGATTTGTTGTAGAATAGAAGGACAATCGATTCTGCCCTGTAGAATGTCTGAAACAAACAGGGCCCATGTCGTATCTCTTCGACTCCACAAAAGATCCAGGTGAATTAACTGGCATCGACTTTCGTAGCTTGGAAGGCGATGAGGATCCCTCCAAGGCAATCGTCGAAGGGCAAACCAGATGAATCGTCGTTGAATAGACTCTACTCCAGTGCTGCACAATTTCGACAATACACGGTGATACTCAAAATTCTGCTTTGGTCACTCGTTTGAGCTAACAGTCATCGTCAAGGCAAACCATGTCAATTGTCAGTGGCATTTTTGTCAGTGACGAACGTGTGCTGATTTGTTTATTAGCTAAATTTTAAATGAAATTAAATTTCTTGAGGAAAACATTCACATGGAGCCATTAAAGTGTACAAGCATCTACGTCCTGAACAGCTTGGATAACAATAATGTGACTCAGAATGCAAGAAATTACCCTTTCTGTTACCAGGTGAATCTTTGTCATTGACGAAAAAATGAATGAGATTTTGACAAAGATTTTTTTGAGAATCAAGTCTATCATTGACTATGTGACAAACAATTTTGTCAATATCGCACAAAAGTCTGTCAATGACAATGACAAATCTCAGCACTGCTCTACTCTTTGTACACTGTTTTGGTAATTGGGATTCCATACAGGGCAGCAGTATTCTAACACCGACCGGACGAGGGAGTAGTAAAGCAACTTCAAACAGTAGATGTCCGTAAAACTTTTAGCTATCCTGAAAATGATCACGTACGAGAAATGCTGGCTGTATGTGAGTTGACAATCCAATGTCGTTTTCGTTTTTACTACACTACACCGGTGTAGTGTAAGCAGCAATAAGCGCGAGTCATTGACAGTTTATCATCATTTGTTTGTAAACAAAGGTGCAACCGATAGCTACACCCAAAAAAATTTCGGTGTTCGGCGGTGTAGCACCGGTGTAGCTACACCGCAAAAACGAAAATGACATAAGATGACTCCCAGATCCTTAATGTGATTCACACGATGCACGTCAACCCCTTCTAGGATATAACTGAATGTAATTGGATGTTTCTTCCGTGAGAACGTGATTACTGTACATTTTGTTGGATTTACAAACCATGCGGTGCAGTTGGCACCAATTAGCAAAAGCGTTGAGTTGGAGTTGGAGAAGGTGGTAGTCAGCAATGGCTCGGATTCGGAGATAGATTTTCATGTCGTTTGCGAACGACAGTCGTGGACCGTCGAGGACGAAATTGACGTCGAATACACAAGAAATATCAACGGGCCGAGGTGGCTACCTTGCGGAATACCCGAAGTGGCAGGGAACGAAGGAGATCGGCAGTCGTCGATTGCAACTTCCAACTGACGATCAGATAGATAGGATGCGAACCATCGTAGGAGACTGCCGTTTCTACCGATCCTATCCAGTTTGGCGATCACTATAGGATGGTTCAACTTGTCGAAGGCGTAGATGACATCTGTTTGCATATGGTCTGTCGTACTCTCCGTAATGTACGAGGTGAGACACAGAAGGTTGGAAGTAGTCGATCGCCCTGCCATGAAACCATGCTGGTCTTCGCTCAAGTGCTGCTTGAAGTGAGAGACTAATTTTTCCATAACGACCAACTCGAACAATTTAGTTATGGCACACAACAATGTGATACCGCGATAGTTGTCGATGTTTCTTTTGCATCCCTTCTTATGTATGTATGTATGTATGTAAGGTAGCCACCATCCCTTCAATTCTTTTGCATCCCTTCTTATGCACTGGAAACATCTCAGCTGGTTTCCAGCAGGAAGGAAACACCCCACTGGAGAGGGACTTTTCGAACAGAAGGTAGAGAGGAGCCACCAGGCTATCAATGTGTTGCTTGAGAAAGACGGAAGGAACTCCGTTAGGTCCAGGCTTAAATGAAGACTTCAGTTGCGAAGCCGCCCTAGTTACCATAGCGAGGTCGATGTTGATAGCTGCCAAAGATTGACCAGACATTGGAACATTACAGGTAGGTTCTCATCCGAGAATACACTCGCAAACTTGGTTGAGAATAGACGGCAAATATCCTGAGGGGATGAAGCTTCTTCGCCGTTCAGTACCATAGTCGATGGAAGGCCAGACTTCTTTCGTTGCTCATTCACATAATTCCAAAAAGTTTTCGGGTGAGATCGAAGCTTCCGATGAACATTTCGTTGATAACGCCGATAACATTGGCGACTGGTTCGTTGATACGCATGATTGATCCTCGCATAATGGTCCTTGAGTTGTAGGGTGTGGTACTTGGTGTAATTTCTTAGCGCGGCTCTTTTGGAAGACTTTAACATACGGAGTTCACTTGTTTGCCAAGGATGATGATTACCTTGTTTAGGAACTTTTTTCGGAACGTGTCGCTCAATGACGTAAGCCAAAATATGCGAGAGCGAGATCGGCAGGGACGAGTATCCTGTGCCAGTCCAAATTCGAAAGAAGTTCCCCGATACGGTCGTGGTCAGCATTTCGGAAATCGTAGGAGACCCCTAGGGGGGTGGAATGACCTCAGGAATTTGGTTGCCTTCAAGTGCAATAAATAAAGGAGGATGGTGTGGAACAGTCTTTATCAACGGAGAAACAGTCATAGACAAATGCGGAGCAGTATCCGGAGCGGTGACGAAGCAAAGGTCTAAGCTACGATTGTTCTCATTAACCACGTGGTTGATTTGCTTCAGAGTGGCGATACTGTAATGATCCAAAAGACTTACAGCTCCAGAGTGAAATGTAGAACGATCGTGGTCCGAATACAGGAATCCACCGTAAGATGATCGTCAAGGGGGCTGCATTGCGATCTAGAATTGGCAACGACATCAGGCAGAGGATGTTCCAAGACAGATATTGAATTATACTCGCCTGATTGGGAGATTCGGAAGTGACTGCGTCGGAAGGACTGGAGGCTTCCAAAATACTATCCACGGTGCGTCCCAGGATCCAAGATGAAGAAAAGTTGATTTCATGTTCCCATGACGTGCATTTCCTTCGTTAGGAGATTTCTCCTGTGAGCTGAAAATCAAACCGACTTCGAAAAGCGAATGATCAATGTTGAATTTATACTTGCCTGGGATAGTAAGTTGGAAAACCCCCGACCCATATCTAAGCTCATGTTATTAACGAAAGGGACAGTCGACGAAGAGAATCCATCAATGTTACTTAGGTCCTAATGCAATGTTCAGATTGAATTCTGCGGAAATTCTGGGATGATGATGAGGAGGATGATGATGGATAATAATATTGAAAATCAAGCACACAAAATAATTCAAGATCTCAGGCTACTAAACTGCCTATAATCGCATATCAGTCCCATACGGATTTTCGTCAATTTTGAGATAACAACGGTATGTACTATCACTTGGCATCTACTTTCATATTATGTGTTAAAACTACGGACTTCGATCATGAAAAATGTGAAAACAACATCAAGCAAAATAATCGTATATCAGTTCCATGCTGAAATTCAATAGTCTATGTTCAAATTAAAGTTCTGTTTTTCGAATTGCCATATTTTTCGCTGATATAACAAATCATGCAAGCTTCGTTGCAACTGATTTTAACTTGAGAAAATAATATCAATATATTTACTATGGTTTTTCAAATACAGATGGCAATTGCACTTCGTAACTTCGACGTCCATTTTCACAATGCCTACTTTTTTCCATATGGGACTGATATGCGATTATAGGCAGTATAACGTCTAATGATTTCATAATATTCCGGAAAAAAAAAAGTTTGCTTTAGCGAAGTGAGTGGAAGCGAGCTTGCCCTATAGTCGCTATATTCATAGTCTGGCGGATAGAATTTCGATCTATCATAAAGCGGAACCAATTCAATATATTTTAGTACTATGAACTTTTATAAACAAAACGTTGATTATTCTTTCCTCGCTAATCGAACACAAATTACCGGCATCAACGGATAGGGGAAACTTTCGGTAACTCAAAGATGGTGTTAGTTTGCGTAGACGAGCCTTGAGTCACGAGAAAAGGGTTTCCGAAATTTTGTTCACAATAGCTGATGTGCTCTTTTCTGTTGTTGGTCGTGATTTGCTCGATTGGTTTCGCTATTTGATAGCTCAATTGGTTCCCGAGATTATATCAGCCAGACTATTAATATAACGACTATACCCTGCCCGTGTGGGCATATGACAGATGTCGGATTACAGCTATTGTAAGATAAGGATAGATTAAGTTCGCATAACACGTTTTAAAAAAGGTTGCGCTTGTATGGCAATATTTTCATTGTACCTTGCAAAATAATTGCGCAGAACCACCTCAGTACGATGAGGATAAAATATGCTAGGTTTCTTTATTAAAGATCCTTTCAGCCATTTGCTGGTTCGTTTCTGGTGGATAAAATTTAAGCTCGCAGAGCATTTTTTATGTCGGTGCTTATATGAAATTCACATTGGTCATTCACATCCATAGCGGAACTGGAAGTAAATAGCATGTTTGCGGGGTTCTCCGCATAATGTTTTTTTTTTTTTTTAATACAGAGCACGATATGTGATGCGATAAGAAACATCGCACCCAGCATTAAAAGAAGAAAATAGATAACGAAAAGTGTGGGTGGACAGTTGTTATCATTTGGATTTGCAAACGAACGGAACTGGGTCGCGCCTACCACCTATTTTGGGACATTATTTTCTTCACCAAACATTCAACAGAAAGCGGGTTTACGATCTAAAGCAAAATGTTTATTGTTTGAGTTTGAACTACATGATAATACAGTGCATTACAAAGCCATACACATTTTACTGTTTCCGTTTCCTTACCATCGGATCCTTGCTTAAAAATTAATAGTCTTTCCACCTAAACCTGGTTTACTTCTGCTCGTAAAAGAGAAGAAAAGAAGTGTAGCCTTAAATTCCTACCGTACGAATGTTATTTTTTTTTAACTGGTCACAAATGCAGCATCTACTGGCAGAATGTTTCATACACATTAACGCCCAGGGTTTTGAGCTTTTCCGACTGCATAAATCGTGCCACCAACGAGGACATCATATCGTTGGTTCTCGGCTCGAATCCGTTCAGCCCATTAGACGAGCTCGACCCGATCGAGCCCTCAAGGGCCTGCGAAGTCAACCCATTCACGATCGGAATAAGCTTGGCAAGTGAAATCTTGATGGTGTTGATATTTGACAAACTTTCCACATTTAGGGCCGATTTCGATGAGGACGGAGTCGTCTGAGAAGGCTCCGTTTCGGCATAGTATTCTGCCAATTTGTCGACGATAAGCGAGAACCCATTGGACACATTCGACAGGCAAACGTCTGCTACTTCCGCATTTTCCAACACGTCCAACGTTTCGTCGTACATCTGACTGAGAATGTCACTACGATTCACTTCCTGCGGAAGAGTGTACTTGGCGATGTGTTTAGTCGGGCTCTGCTCGTCATTATTCAGTGCCATCTGAATGGACCAGAACAAGGTTTCAGCATCCGCTAAAGTCAACTGCTGCTTCAGGCTGTATCGCTGCATCACGACAGTCACGTTCTTCCTGATCATCTCCATCAGCCTATCCAAACCATCTCCCATAAAGTACTGAATCATCGAAAGGTACGTAGTTTGGATATCAATCGTAACTTGCTTGTCATCCTGTCCGACTGTATCTCTGTACAAATATCCTCCCAGCAAATTGATCTGTGTCTTCAGCGTGACAGCCAACATCGACGAGGCATACACAAGCGTCACAATGCGACTGAATGCTAAAATCTTCAGTTCATCCCACAGCTCCAACTTATTGTCCGGATTGGAACGCAACTTTTCCAATATCTCCGAGGTACTTAAATCCTTCAGTGCCTTTTCCGACACCGTTGGCGACAGTCCCACGATCGTCTGATTGCACGTCCGCTCCGTTGATTCAAAGTGCTGCATCCGTTTGAACCGTTCAGCGATTTCTTTTGCTTGACGTTCCTGGAACTCACGTATCTTGTATTGAATGATTTTGATAAGGAATATTCCTCCTCCCAGCACGACTCCCGTTGTAATGAACTTCCTCCGGTGACGGTAAAAGAAATCCTTGATTCCGGCCAACATTCCGTCGTCTAGTGCAGCACAGTACTGGTGGTCAAAGGTCAAGAGGTACTCGGGGTCACGGACACGGCAATGGTACTTTGTAGTTAAATTTTCTTTCCTAATGCGCGACGGTGATTTTAATTAACTTTTGAGTGCACTGATGTCTGGCTGCTCTCGCACGATTAATGTTTTGGTGATGTTTTCTTTATCGCAGAGCTGTCACTTGTCATCGAATGAAACATTTCGAAATGTTTAACAGAGCTGCATTCGAGGGGGATGAACCTTTTTTAGTCGAGTAGTTTAGAATCTGAGTGAAACGAAGTGATTTTTTTCTTCAATGTTGGCTGCGCATCAGCTGGCAGCAAACGCATTTGGCGTAAAGCCCAATCGTTACTCCTTCGCAGATAAAATGACGTTTACTACCCCTCGAACTTTGAATTGAAACATTATTTTGAGACTTTTTCTTCTAGAACCTCGAGGAAAGTAGCCAACATTTCTCGCGTCACTTTTCAAAAGGTCCTAAGTAACAAATGTAAACAAATCGAGATAAGCGATACAAACTATTGTTCTTCTATCATTGTATGTGATACAAAAACATCCATCCAAATTTACTCTTATTTATTTAAGAAAATCATTGATTAAAAATTGTCCAATGTACAGTTTGAAATGATGGGTAAATGATTGTTACTTCGGTCATTCGGACTGCCTAACATGATTGGTGCTCATTTTCCAAAGGCCGGGCCAATCTAAAGTTAGGTACTATACTCTGAAATCTGTGAAAGGGAATCTAGTATCATGTAGACAAAACGTCCAATGTAACACCCATTGATTATGTCATTGAGAAAAATCGTCCAATGTAACATGTCCGATGTACAACTCGACTTGTCAAAACGTCCTATGTGGTTTTTTCTATGTTGTAGCATGAAATTTAAAGTAAAATTGTGATTTTACCGTTTCTTCTAAATTTTCAACGTTATTATACACTGACTACATTAAAAATAGTATTGCAAAATGTATTGTTTTTAAACAGTTAAATTAAAAATCTGTCGAACTTCAACTTCGATTTTCTCAAAATGGTGGATATGTTCTATTTGAAAAGTGACGCGAGATTTGTGCGTTTCATAAAAAAATAGAAATTAGTTGGTCCTGTTTTGTGAAATCGCTGGTAGAGGGTCACGCCAAAACTGCTTGACAAAGTGGTCAATTCGACAGTGAGCATGCATAAGGGCCTATACGCGATGATCGATTCTCTTCGTCGATTTTCTCTTTCGTTAATAACTCGCTAGATTGAATGTTTATCGGTGCGTTTGCTGTTGCTGTTGATAGCCAATACAACCTGTTACTACTATACATTGAACAAATTCTAGAAAATTGTTTCGCTTAGCTGTAGCAATGCAAAGAGAAAATCGATGAAGAGAATCGATCATCGCGTATTCGCCCTTATGCATGCTCACTGTCGAATTGTCGGGTTAAAATTTGACACTAAACGCTCGGTAGTCTGTTCGGTTAAAAAACACGCAGAAAAATCTATTCGGGTGCGATTAAGGGTGGTCAGTGGGTCTGTGAGTTTCGAGACATAGCTGGTGCTTTCTTTTGCGAATGTAAACAAGAAGGATAGATGTTAGGACTTGTAAAACTCGTCTACTCAAGTTCTATATTGTTGAAATAAACTTTTAACCTCGAGCAAGTAGGGTTTTATTTATGCTAAGCTTTTATCGGTGTAGATGAAACCCGAAATAACTCACTAGAGACAATCGACTTTACTTTCTTATTTATGCAAAGCTAGAACAATCTGGAATTTATTGCCTTCTTTTCTTAAAATCGCTGGTAGAAAGTTGTCCCAAAACTTTTGACTATACGATTAATTACTTAACGGTTACTACGAGGTTGTAACCAGTTGGTTACAATCCGTGGATTTTCGTTTGTATAAGTTGTTGTTGTTTGGAAAATTCACGTATTTTAATTTAAAAGACAGAAGGCAACACACAGCAGCGAGAGGGTTAGTACCGCTGCAAAAACACTCGAACGATACTAAAGGGAGGACAATCGTAGTCTTAAGCTAAAAATGGCGAATGATCGGCAAAAGGCATGCGAGTGGCCATGTTCTAAAAGAAATAACCTTCAAATTGGCAGAAGTAATCAGGCGTCCGTGTAGACCGGTATCGTGAAGTGTAGTGCATATATAATACAACCCCCCCCCCTTGTGGGGTTTGGGCTGGAAAGCCTACCTCCGTTCAGGACCTCTTGTGCTTTTGGTACATTTCGTACACCTCGTACCGTAAATAAAACGGTCTTACAAGGCTCGGCTCGGAAGTCAAGATGGCTTCCGAGTCTAATAGTAAATGATCCTCGATCGTCCGTCAGGGACGATTCCCTCAGACCAGTGGCCTTAATTGCCAAGGAGGGTCCCGTCTCGGCTCGACCAAGGTGGCCATGCCACGGTCAGCCGATGCCGTCAACGACGGAAGACGCCTGCCAGCCAAACGAGCCAGCAACGCCTGCTGAGCCGTATGTGGCTGATGAACGCCACCAGATCCGCCATTCTCCCAAAGCGGCAACAACACTGTCTGCAGCCCGCGCCGCAAGTTTCCGGCCACACGGTAGTGCAGGAGCAGCCGTGTGGGCCAACGCCAGCGTCGCGACGCCGAAGAAGAATCTGCTGCAACAGTGAGTACCGTACCGTTTATAAACTCTCGCATACACGCCACATATATGTGAAAACCCACACCCACACGCCACAGAAAAGGGCAAATAAATGTTTCAGAAAATGTGAATATTCCTGTGTTTCATACTTTGTCCGCGTAGCCCCTCCGAATACCCAGTAACATGCCGGCCCTGCGACACAGTTCAGGGGTCTCATGCTACTGAGCTAGTTACCCGGGAGTGTCTGGAAACTACTAGGAAACTAGGAAACTAGGAAATCAAAACAATATTTTGAGATTTTTTATTCACCCGAACCCCGAGAAAAGTAACAAAATTTTGTGTTTCGTTACAAAATTGTAATATGTTGCTGCAGTTTTGTGAAGTCACTTTTAGAAAGTCACAATAAAACAAAGTAGTCCTTTATCGCTTAATACCGGGCAAAATGTATGAAGGTAAATACTCAATCAATCGAATATTTTCGTTAGTCTTAAAACGTCTGTCGATCTGTTAAGATCCGAATTCCTTGCAGCCAGTACCTTCATCAGGTTTTAAACTAAGATAACTGATGAGACCAGAATCTCTAATTTAGTGAGAAGTTCAGACCTCAGTCTACAATCAAAGTCCAAAAACCTGATGCTAAAGGCACTTCTTTTCTTTCTATCAAATTCTGAACCACGTTATTGTAACAGTCCCTTAATTTAGTAGGGTAAAGGCTGCCGCACAATGCATAAGTTTCCGGGTTTGTTGACAGATAATATATGGGCTAACTGTCAAAAAACCTGAACACTTATCCATTGTACGTTAACTGTCTTAGCGTCTTGAACAGTTTTTGATAGAATCGAGAAAAAGGCAGTCCCGGCAGGGCAACGGAGTACCGTCCAAACCGTTCAGCATGGTAAGTGAACCTTCGCGTGATTAACAAACTCGGGACAGCTTGTTTTAACTCCTCTGCTATCCGTGCCGAACAGTAGGTTGATTTGAAAGTTGTCCATACACAGCAAAAAAAAAATGTAATATCGATCAATGTAATTCAAGCTGATGTATGAAATAATGATGTAATAGCAAAAATCAGATACAATATTACATCAATGGATGTAATTTTGTTCGCAAAATCGATGTACATCGTACAACGTTATATTAAACAACCGATGGATTGACCTGGTTGCAGCAGTTTGGATGTAATATTCAACAACTTTTTTTTCTGTGTATGTTAAATTTAAAGGAAAATTCACCAAATGAACACTTTGTCAAGCAGTTTTGGCGTGACTTTCTACCAGCGATTTCACATAACTGGACCAAATAATTTCTATTTTTTTATGAAACGCACAAATGTTGGCTACTTTTCTCGAGGTTCTAGAAGAAAAAGTCTCAAAATAATGTTTTATTTCAAAGTTCGAGTGGTAGTAAACGTCATTTTAGGTGCTCGAATGAAGTGGTTAAATGGAACACAGCCCGAGAACACCGTTCACTCAAAAAACAGCTCGAATGAGTAAGATAACCTCCCTCTGTAAACCTCCTTGGCATCGTGCTGAAATATTTCGATCTGTCACGCATTTTGATTCCATTTTGACTCGCCAGCTTGCGCATCAGTAGGAAATCATTAATCATCAGGCCCAGACGACAGCACAAAAGAAAACTGCGTGAGAAAAATCAATAATAAAAGATTTTCACCAGCAGCAGCAGAAGAGTTAGCAGAAAAGTGTTTTGTGGAAAATCTGGTGAAAATTTAGTGACCTCCGATTGAAAATCGTAATTGAAAGCATCCGACGATGGCTGATAACGAGCAGAAAGCGCTGCAGCTAATTGCAGAAGCAGAGAAGAAGCTAAATTCGTCGAAGAGCTTTTTGGGATCTCTTTTTGGGTGAGTTGCAAAAGCGAAAATCCGTGTCCCCTCCCCGAAACGGGCAACCTACATAATTATCGGGAAATCTATCAAAAAATGGAGCATTGGTGGTAAACTTCCAACGTGCTAATTGACTAGACTAGTAAACAACGCATTAGTTTTCCTGAATGAGTCATTGTTCGAAGCTAGATTTCTCCTTGAAGCATCCAAAGCAAGAAAAAAAAGAAACATAATGGGCTGATTGTGTCTATACACAGAGTCACCACCGCATAGGTATTAACAGAGCAGCACACACATTGGAAGTAGAGTCAAAACTACCCTCACCCCCTGTACCTGTGCTTATCATGCCCCGTTACAAAGTCTATGCATGAGCAACACGATAGGATGGGTTGGGAAGAAAATCAATAACTTAAAACTTTTCTTGATTAGTCCAATGGTAACCTTTTGCAATTGGCAGCTGACCCAGCGCTTTGCTTTCCATACTTCTAAGCAGCAATACGTGCAATTTGTGCATTGAAATGTGTTTGTTTTCATTTTACTTCCAGTGGTGGTTCGAACAAGGTTGAGGAAGCGGTAGAATGCTACCAACGGGCGGCCAACATGTTCAAAATGGCCAAAAAATGGGCCCAAGCGGGATCGGCTTTCTGTGAGGCGGCCAACCTGCACGCTAAGGCCGGAAGCCGTCACGATGCGGCCACCAACTATGTCGACGCGTCCAACTGTTATAAGAAGGTGAGTGATAAGCATCTGTGAATGAATGGCAAGAATTGTTCTAAGTATGGTAGTGGTGTATAGGTAACTGCGGTTCACGTTCTAAATAGATGATCGAAAATACATGCAATACTCGTATTTCTAAGCGGGATGTTGCAATATTTGTGACACTTACTAAATGCGCTGCTTGGAATTAAAGCAGCAATGTCTGGTTTTCATATGGAACAAGCATGCCTTTATTTTCTACTTGTACGTGGAACGTGAAGTGGCTATGACCTGTAGAAAAGGTTTTAAGTTCTTTGCAGAGGTCAATTTCCGGTCCGGTGTAGAGAATCTTTCGGGTAGGAAATTCTCTCGATTACCCTGGCAATCTTATCGCAACTTTCTAAATCATTCTTTACAGGCTTTTCAAATGTTGTCCATGTCCAAGAGTCAGACATTTATTTTTAAATCTGTGATGTTGAAAATAATGTCATGTTTTAAATTTCAATAAGTCCATTCCATTCGATTCCTGAGATTTTCTTCCTGTAAGAACGTTCTTCAGTGGGAGTTATTGAATGTTGAGTTAAGTACTGAAGTTGTCAATGTGATTTCTTTCTTCGGAGCATGCTTGGCATGCACAGTTGTACACACCAACTGCTCATTTGTTAATAACTTTTCATTTGTTTTTCTTAAAAGCAATTGATAGATTAGGATCATAGTTTACTATAGGTATGCAAAAAGTAGGTAAATCTTAACATTTGAATCAACACCAATGAATTTTTACATTTAAAGTCCGAGATGTAGGGCTGGTAGCGAGTCACTTTTTTAAAGCCAGACACTAAAAAGTCACTTTTTCTTGTAATAAGTCACTATTTTAAACTTTTTTAAACGTGAATTTATTTCAAGATTGATCATTTTTTCTGAATAGGCCTACAGTTTGTTCTATTTTTTTTAACAATTCGAAGTTAACGACCTTATTTTTTTAACGTTTAATCGTTCTTCTCCATCTACAGGGTGTACACTCATTTGGCAAAATAAAGTTCCCTGAGTTTTCCAAGTTTTTCCATAACTTTGGCGGAAAATTTCCAGGTTTATAATAAGAATCCTATGTATGAAATGTTTTAAAAATATGTTTTTACGCAAACGTTTTTAAGACATGACAAACAGCTTTACTATCAAATCCATTAAATGTTGAAGTTGAACGCTTACTTCATTTTAGTAAGTCTAAGATCACAACACATTTTTAATGTCTTGACTATTCGTACTAACAAAAATGTGAAAACTTTAATGAAGTTCTATTGATCTCAGAAAAGTTAGATCTAGAGATCGTTGGGGAATTCCAGAGAATTTAAGAGGAAGTCTCCGAAAGTTTAGCCCAGACTATTGAATTGCACACTTAGAAATAACTAATTTTACACGTGACGGAATCCATCTTTGACATATAAGATGAAACGTAAACAAACATGTCATTTAATACTAAATGCTTCATTTGATTGAGCTATATTTCGCGTCTGTTATGACTCAAATTTATGTCAAAATTTACACTCTCAGAGCACCTAAATTTACATGAATTTTTCTAAGTGTGTGGTTTAAAAATCTATAAGCGTGAGTTTAGACAAATTCAGGATAGTTCCATAACGTGCTGAAATAAAATCAAGAACCCGTAAGATGTTCCGATAGATTCAGTACAGAGACCTTCAGAAAATTTATGAAATCTTCAGAAATATTTCAGGAACTTCACAGAAATCCAGAGAATTCCAGGGAAGTTTAAAGGAGTTTACGAGAATTCCATGCATTTTAAAGCAGAACCGAGGTCTTCATTAGGCTTGAGAGCTTTAGGGAAGCTCCGAGAACATCAAGACAGATCAGAGAATTGATGGCAGTTCAAAAAATTTCAAGGAATTTGCAAAAACCGGAATTTCCGGAAACTTTGGTTTGCTCAGAGAAAATGTCTGGAACGCAATAAAAATTATATGAACATCCGGAAAATAAGAGAGTATTTCAAGGGTGTTATATCATGGAAATTTAAAGATCTTAAAAAATCTAAAATTTAGCTAAGTTGATTAGATAACATCAACGAAGTACCATTAATTAAAAAAAAAAAAAACGAGAACTTTTAGCAAGCTTCGATATTTTCTTTCACAATAACTTAAGGCAATTTGCAGCGACTTACCTTAAAACTATGGGATATTCCGAGAATTCTATGATTGATCCGAAAACTTTAGAAGCTTCAGGGAATTATAAATATATATCAGAATTTTTTTCGGAACATTTGATTAATTTAGAGAAATTAAGGTAAGCATAGAAAACTTCTCGGATGTCCAGGATTCTCAGGGTAAATTAGTGATTTAAGGCAAAGTTCCGTAAGCGTTTATAAACTTTATGAAACTTCAGGAAAATTGTAGAACTTAGAGGCAATTAAATCAATTCCAGTAAAATTGTGAGTTCTTTTAAAAAAGTACTAAGATATTCAGGGCAGTCTAGAAAATTTTAAGGTAATTGAGAAATATTTTGGGCAGTTTTAAAAACTCTAGACTATGAAAGAAGTTATTAATTAGTTTCGATAATTTTAACTTCAGACAAACCTTGAGAACTTCAGTGAAAATCATTGAACTATATTAATTATTTCGCTGCGAAAGCTTAAAGAAGTTCCTGAAATTTCAGAATAACTTTGAAAACTTCACAGAAGTACAGAGATCTTCAGAAACATTCCGAGAACTTCATAAAAGTCTATGGAACTTAAGGGGAGATCCGAGGACTTCAGGAACTTTTATGGACATTTCGGGAGCATATCAAATAACTTGAGTTAAGCTCCAAAAACAAAGGGAATTTCAAGGGAGTTCAGTTCCATTAGTTTCACTAAATTAGTGGAAAATTTCAAGAAGTTCCCAGATTTTCAGAGAACATAAGAGATGTCAAGAAAATTATTGAGGTTTTCACATAAGTTCAGAAGTTCACGCAAGCTTAAATATTTTTAGAACAATTCAATTAAATTCATGGTATTACAACAAGCTTCATTAGAACTGCAAACACTTAAGAGAAGTTTCGAGAACTTCGAGAAAGATTTTGATCTCGCTAATAAAGCTCTAAAAAAAAAAAAAATTAAGAAAGAACAAATATCTTCAGAGCAGAGATATTCCAGAGCAGGGAAAGTACATAAATTTTAAAAAAGTTTCGAGAAATTCAGTGAAACACTTTAGAGAAGATTCATGATCGTTAGGAAAATTAAGGAAACTTTAGGAAGTCCGAAAAAGTTTAAATAAGTTAAAAAAAAATGATGAGAAGTATTGTGAGCATCAGGTTAGGTTAGTTTCTTAAACTAGAAAAGAACTTCAAGGCAATTGAATTAACTTCAGGTATATTTTGGTAACTTTCAAGTAGTTCTGAAGACCTCAAAATAGCTCTGAGCCAGCTGTCTTCTCGTCGAAGCTAATCGATCGGTTGCAGATGGCCTGAGTAACTATTTGGTGGGGTGAAAAGTAACCTCATTGACCGCCAGAATGCGCTGCTACTGCAAAAAGGTTATGGATCCTTGTAATCCGTTCATATTTAGACAGACATGCCAAATTTCAGTGCGATACTGTCTTTAGTTTTGTTTTGACTGCAGATTGTTGTTGACGTGTTTGGCATCATGTTGAGTATTGATAAAAACGATGTTCGTTCTGTCATAAAACATCACGGCGAATGAGAACGACCCAAATTTGAGTTTAGTTCACTCATAATCGCCAAAAGTGCAGGAGCTCAGCGATGAGTAAATTTGCCTCATGTTTTCCCAGGATTTTCCAGGGAAAAATTACCGAATTTGAGAAAAGTAAAGATTGGATTCAGTCTATTGGTACTACTCCGAGACTGAATAAAATTTTCGTCAATTTCCTCATTTTCCGGCAGATTTTTTAGGTTTTCAGGTGCCGCCATTTGTCGGATTACATCTGGAATCCAAGCTCTATTATAAGCTTTTGCTATGTCTAAAGCTGCCCAAGGTGGCGTCGTGAAGGGCTTGAGCAAGCGTGGCGAAGTACGTGTTCTGAACGAAAGGCGTGTTGACGGTGGTCAAGTAGGTCCCTGGATTCTAGAAAGTTCATCAGTCGCCTATTTACCATCCTTTCCACGATTTTGGAGGTACAGCATGTGAGGGAGATTCGCCTGAAATCACTAGCTTGTCTGTCAGGCTTTCCTTGCTTGAGGATCGAGATCACGAGACTGTGCTTACACACAGAGAAATGATTTTTAAATTCAAATGGATATATTTTTGGCTCAGGGCCTAATATATTTTTGGTATTGATTCAAATATATTATTCGGTTAATTTAAAGCAAAATATTTTTGAATCAACAAACCGGTTGTAGAGTCAATAATCTGTTTGTTGATTCTAAAAACCATTTTGTTGATTCGAAAATATGTTTCGTTGAAATGGTGATACAATATGTTTGAATCAATAACAAAATACATTAGGCCCTGAAACAAAAATCAATTTTTCTGCGTGTTCCAGTTGTTCAACCACTCCTGGTTGATTAGATCTAGAAGCTTGCGTCTTCCTTTTGGTGGTAGATTCCGGAGCAAAGGATAACCCACTTCATTTGGGCCCGCGGAATTCGCTTTAGCCTTTGACAAGCTTAGATTGCTTCCTGTATGAGAGCGGAAAAATATAATTTGATTTATGATTTTGCCAACACTGCACACATCAAATAACGTGAGAACTACAAAATAGCATTATTGATGGTCATATTGAGTGTAAGTACTACAGTCGTATCACACCATGGTTGGATAAATTCAGGTTTTTACAAATCATTACACCCTGATCTTCCGTCCGCTGGAATGCCAACACAGGTTCCATCAAATATGGCATTTCTAGCTTCTTCATCAGTTAATTTGGAACTCCTGCAAATCCCTTGGTTTATGTCCTACATTAGCATTCTCTACGATTTCGCTATCGTTTCGACTAATAGTGGATTAGCTCCGATTACTAGTGGATTAGCGATTAAAAACGACAGATTCTAGTGGTCAAATACTTCCCGTGGAAGATTCAACACAGCTGCACATATTGAATCAAGATACGAATACACAACTGTTTTTTTTTTGTATACACAGATCGATCCAAACGAAGCCGTCAGTTGTCTGCTGAAGTCCATCGACATTTACACCGACATGGGTCGGTTCACCATGGCTGCCAAGCATCATCAAACTATTGCCGAGATGTACGAAAACGAAGCGAATGATTTGGTAAGTCCCCGCCTGCATTTCAAACAATGAATCGCAAATCCAATGATGTCAAATCGCTTACAGCAACGTGCCGTGCAGCACTACGAGCAGGCCGCGGACTACTTCAAGGGTGAAGAATCGACCAGCTCGGCCAACAAATGCATGCTGAAGGTGGCGCAGTACGCTGCACAGTTGGAGGACTACGAGAAGGCCATCCAGATCTACGAACAGGTGGCCGGATCGTGCCTGGACAGTTCCCTGCTCAAGTACAGCGCCAAGGAGTACTTCTTCCGAGCCGCTCTCTGCCATCTGAGTGTCGATTTGCTGAACGCTCAGCACGCTCTCGAAAAGTACGCACAACAGTACCCGGCTTTCCAGGACTCGCGGGAGTACAAATTGGTTAAGGTGGGTTTCGAATCTTTTTGAAATACAAGAAAAATGGTGATTTTCAATTTCGCTTTTCAAACAGACCCTGTGCGAACATCTGGAAGAGCAGAACGTGGACGGTTTCACCGAAGCGGTCAAGGAGTACGATAGCATCTCCCGGTTGGATCAGTGGTACACCACCATCTTGCTGAGAATCAAAAAACAGGCCAACGATAATCCCGATCTGCGATAAATTGATGAGCCACGAAATTGCGATTTGCACTGGAAAGTAGAACTCACGCGTTCAACCCCATCTTACTCTATATTATATTACTAACTACTACCTACTACTATCAGCGAAAGATTTGTTCGATTCGGAAGGGATATTTCTTAGGATATTAGCAAAACAACAACTAAGAAAGGACAATTACTAATCGATGGATGTGTGCGTGCTAATACGGCAAAAGTGTAGGATCGCTATCGTTTTTATTAGTCTTAGTTTCCAATATTATATATAATGCATATTGAAAAACAAGAAACAAAAACATAGCATTAGTTGAAAAGACTTTACATGAATGAAATATAATCCACAGAGAAGAGAGTGATGGAAATGTACTTTATTATCACGTGTATGTTTATGTTTGTTTTTGTTTAACGCGGAGCTACCATTCCGTTTTAGTTGTTACAAAATGCAACAGATGAAGCGAAGGAAATGTTACAGTTATCTAATGCAGATTTTGTGTTGTTTATTATTTGTCTCTACAACAATAATTATACAATGTTAGTGAACAGCTATCATAAATACAGAAGAAAAATAGTGTCAAGCGTTCCAACAACCATTACCAACAGTGTAAAACAGCGCAGAACAATAAATCCTTAAACTCAGAAAGTGGGGTTTTTCAAAAATTTCCTGAAAAATCTCACTTTGATCGAATTTTTTCGATCCTTTTAGTTCTATCTCACTAGTCAGAACTCATTGCAGAGAATAATAAATAAATTCCAACAGCAAACGTTACAAGTATATCACTAATCCAGTCACGTCGATATAGCAACAAAGGTCCGATTAATGCACTCTAAAAATAAAACAGAAAAATGTCTTTGAAAATATCATTGCTTCGAAAATAAAGCGTCGTTATTCATACATGAAAAACCAACAACATCCCATACCCATACATATTGGGAAACCAGAGAAGAACCGAAAGAAACCTACCCACTAAACTGCATAAATATAAGCTAAGAATTTGAAATACCCCAACAAAATTCTCTATCTCTAGCTATATTCTAGTAAATCAACAAAAGAAGAAACGAATCAGAGGATATTCGTTACTGATGATAAAAGAAACAAGCGAAAATTTGCAACTCAAGTTGAAGTGTGAAAAACAGACATTCACATCCAACTGGGGCGTTAGTAAAATTTGTCATAAACTGGCTCTATATTATCATAGCAATTCTCTAAAACAATTATAAAACATACAGCTAAAACGAATAGGGTGGCGACGCATTGGTTTGGAAGGTGAAGCGACACCGACGAAGCGGAAAATTGAGTGAAGTATTGTGCTTCGTTGTATGAAAGCTAATAAAATGGACGGAAGAGACAAACAGACAACTAAAAAAATTACATGTTTCCGAATTGCAATAAATAAAGACAACAAAAAAGGTACTACGAAAAATAAGCACTCGGCTCGAATTTTCTTTTCTGGAAAGAATGTATTCTCTTTAATTTCCTCCGCTCCCTCCATTCTGCGAGCCGTGTGATTTGATTTGCACAGATAGTTAGCTCACACGACGTGACTTTTGTCACCTCGTTAGTAACAGAGAGTCACACGACTCGCAAAATAAGGGATGCGTACACTCTACAAATTCTCCACGTCCGATTTACGTGACATATCACGTAACTGATTTGTATTTATAAAATCTCAAATGTTACGTGACGTTGGCAACAGATTTAGTGTATTTGGGTTAGTGTGTTTGGAACTTCTATCTTATTTTCTATCAATAAATGGGGTTAACAAAACTAAGTATGTAGAAGTTCGGAATACATTTTCCCATTTTTCAATATCCACAGATCTTAAAACTTTTAGCGAACAGTTCCGCAATTAAAAAACCCAGTAAAACCTTACTAACTGGGATTATGTACCGACAAAGCTGCAAGCTGAACCAGCGGAAGCAGTATCTCTGAAGAAACCGGTCGTCGAGTGCCAGCGTCAGTCGAATCGCAAACACAACATTGATCCAACATACCTGGAACCATCAGGTTCTCATAAAAAAAAAAACACGCAATCGCGCTGTCAAATTGCTACCACAAAGGCTATGTTCCATTTCTTCTTCATCATTCCTTTATTTAATGTCGGTCTCTGTTTCGCAATCTAATGCCAATCACCGACGAACATCGATTGCCATCCATTGACTGGAAGGCAGCTTCCACACCTGCGTAGGATATCGCACCCATTCACACACATGGGCCGGGACTAACGGCTTTACTTCCCTTCCGAAGGAAGATGTGACCAGAGATTTTTATGTCTCAGAAAAATCCCACTGACCTCGGCTGGGATTGAACTCAGACCCATTAGGGTGAGAAAGCAGTCACGCTTACCATTACCGGCGCCGTGTGTCCCATTTGAATTTTCTCTTTAATTTGACAGATGCAAAATTTTCAAATAAACCTGTTATTGTACTAGTCTAGTCTGACAGACCAGGAATCCATTTTGACAAACACCTTGTAATGTGTCTAAGTAGGCATTCCTAAATTTCATACCAAAAACAAATATCCAACCGTTCAGGCAGCAGAGTCAATGTATCACCTCAAAACTGCAACTGCAACTGAAAAGTCCACGGTACGCGTGTAAATGCCACGCAGAAATGGCTCCGTCACGAAACGGAACGCAACGGAACAAATCCACAACCTTCTCGAAAATCAAATCAAGTCAAATTTAAGTGAAAATTCACCAGCCTAATTACTGAATTATATTGTGGGATGTTGACAGCGATGATTGATGATTTTGACGTATCAATTTGTGCAGAAAAAAATATACTGATGTCAGTTCAGACCATTCAGCTCCTGATGATGAAACGGAAGACGGTTCCAAGCCCCGAGATGCAGATGGTCACCAAAATGATTTCGTCACACCTCTATCAGGCAGATGTAGCAATTTAAATGTTTCTTAGTTGGTAGTACCGCCACTTGTGGTGCACATAATCAATTCCCTAGCGTTTGACGTTTACACATTACAACCATCTGTTGAGTGTATTGCCCATCAAAGTATATACGACAGATGGCGGTAGGGTTTACAATGATAAATGTTCAATGTGTTGTGTCTGCTTGTCTGTGAAATAACATTGAGGCACAGACAAACAGACGTAACACTTCATTGTGTATCTTCGTTCACGCATTTAACGGTTGATTTGAATATTATAAGTTCCGCGAACTACTCACCGCAGCGCTGACATCGGATCACTTTGACGTTTCTATACATTCTATAGAACTTTTATGCAATATTGTTTGCGAGTTAACGAGCAAGCTTGTTTTACGCGAGAAGCCCGAGAGATGTCGTTACTGAGGTCCTATGTTTTGAGATACTATGTTTTCAAGAAAAACTTTTTCAAAGAGTTACGTCTGTTTGGCTGTGATTGAGGATAAAATCAAAACATTGAGAAATATAAAATCAAAACATTGAGAAATATAACGCATCACTTTCAGAAATATTTCACTTTGCAACCGATGAACCATCCTGACGGCCATATGAGTACCCAAGTAACCATATAGTCGCAATATAGCTTGTATATTCTCGCGTCACTTTTCAAAAGGTCCTAAGTAACAAATATAATCAAATCGAGATAAGCGATACAAACTATTGCTCTTCTATCATTGTATGTGATACAAAAACATCCATCCAAATTTACTTTTATTTATTTAAGAAAATCATTGATCAAAAATTGTCCAATGTACAGTTTGAAATGATGGGTAAATGATTGTTACTTCGGTCATTCGGACTGCCTAACATGATTGGTGCTCATTTTCCAAAGGCGGGGCCAATCTAAAGTTAGGTACTATACTCTGAAATCTGTGAAAGGGAATCTAGTATCATGTAGACAAAACGTCCAATGTAACACTCATTGATTATGTCATTGAGAAAAATCGGCCAATGTAACATGTCCGATGTACAACTCGACTTGTCAAAACGTCCTATGTGGTTTTTTCTATGTTGTAGCATGAAATTCAAAGTAAAATTGTGATTTTACCGTTTCTTCTGAATTTTCAACGTTATTATACACTGGCTACATTAAAAATAGTATTGCAAAATGTATTGTTTTTAAACAGTTAAGTTAATAATCTGTCGAACTTCAACTTCGATTTTCTCAAAATGGTGGATATGTTACATTGGTATTTGAAAAGTGACGCGAGTATTCTTACTTTGCTTGACTATGGTTAGTTGGGGAATCTGATGAAACAGTACGTACGTATTTCTTTCATTCTCTTTTCGCACACGGTACGCTCGGTGGACCAGCGACTATGGATGTGAGCCGTGTCCCAGATCGCCATGGCAATTCAATGACAGATGGTGGACATGAAACCGATCAAAAAAGGCGGAATCATATTAGACCCAACCAAGGACGATCTACGGAAGGAAATTGTCGGTGAAGTACGGAATGAAATACGAAGCGTTAGAGAAAAAGTCCAAGGAATTCCAAAAGAAGCAATTAACGACGGCGGAAGAGCAGAATATGGTGAGAGCTTTCCAATTATTAAAAAAAAATTCGAAATTAAACAAAATAGGGGAATTTACGTATTCTCGTCAATCTAAGCAGCGTCCGAACTTCTATTAGCGATTTCTCAGCGTCACACTCATACATGACAGGTTTGTTTGTTGACATTTATCTGCTGCTTGCTGTTCTACAATCGACAGAATTGATCAATTTCCAATCGACAGAATTGATCAAAACGGGTTGAACATGTTTTTACAACGATCCAAACTTCTCAGGTGAGTGTGACTATTGTCGGCAGTCTCTTTTTCTTCGGCACCCTTTCCATTTGAACTGCGTGTTAACCAGCTGTTCTATTATTGGCAACTCGAAATCAGCCGTATTTTGTAGTGTGTATGTTTAATTTAAAGAAAAATATGGCATAACAGGATTGCACAGTCGTAAAAATGTAATCAGATTGAAGCTGTTCAGGTAAGGAATCGGCTTAATACATTCAGCGAAGAGTTTTGATGGGAAAATACAGTGAAATTAACGTTTCAATTTCGGTTGCCGAAAATAGTCAATGGGTGCCGAAGCCATAATTTACCCTACATGCCAAGTTTGAAAAAAAAATATTTTCGAACCTGGAAGCGTGTATATATAACCAATATCCATTTGATAACGGTGATGCATATATGCGGGGCTTATTGTGAGTGAAAGTAACCTCGGAATGGGCGTCACTCTCCAGACATTCTGAAATTGGTTGTTGGATCTGCGATAGAGCCTTCTAACTCCCGGACTAAAGCTGTCTACAATGACCATAAATGCGGACATTGTAGAGAGAGTTCTTCCATAATAACACTGCCGGCCAGTGGGGGTTAGAGGGAATACACACACACACACCTCTATCAGGCCGACCAGAGTATTAAAGGACTACATTAATACAACATTCAAGACAGAATTCAAAGGAGAAATGCTATAGGAACGCCAGCTATTGCGATCAAGCGTGCCATGATCGAGAGAGTATCCAGGTGGCAACGAAGGTGATTTGAAATTTGTGTAATCATACATCAATCAGTCGAATAAGTTGGATTTAATAAGCTAGCTCATGTAATATTTAGTAGGTAGTTCGGTTCTAGCTCTAGTGTCGTCATATTCAAACAACGAGTCATCGTACATTACATTGTTGCATCATATAAATAGACTTAGATCATTTGAGTCTGACAGTGACCATCGACAGGGTAAGCTTCAGAGAGGTTATTCCAAGGAATTCGGGGGAATATAGGAAGTGAGTTTATCGCACTTCGCACTATGAGGCCCAGAACACTTTTAAGAGCTTGCCAGCGTAATATTCTGGATTTGCTGGTCAAGGCATTTGAGATTCCTCTACACTTTGTGGTTGCAATTTTTGGTTTTGCCATTTTATTTATCTGGTATTTTCTGCATTCATAATCTTGTCTATTGCCCTAGACTGATTCCCTAAATTTACTAGACTTTTCCTTGGCTTGGCGTTTGGATCAAGATGCTAGTGAGTGATCCACAAAACGTAATCTTGTGAGATTAGGCAAATCGCTCGACTTTAGTTCCAGGGTTAAGATCTATTTTCCATCATACGCATGGTGGCCACTGGATTTAAGATTTTTCCATGGT